CAATACACACAAATTCTTATATGCTAGACGATCAACCTTTTCTGGTCGGTTCCACACCGTTTCTTTCAAAATGCAATCGCATGACCAGGACTCAACTTCATCTTTAAGAATTAGAGAAGTTATCATATCAATCGTTTCAAATGACGCAAACATTGCAGGTTAAATTTCAACGGCGTTTCAAAGATTATAACAATTTAGAACTTCACTCAAAAATGTCTTTTTGTGGGAAAATAACTACCGTTAGTTGTCGAATCGAATTTAACGAGGGTGCTTGTTTAATTAAATATTTTTAATTAGTTTAATTCAATAGTACTAAATGGTCGTACGTTTTGTGCTGCGCAAAGATTCAATTAGTCTAATTGTAGCCATTACAAGAAGTGGGTTATTGATGCAGACATAATCATCAACCCTTTACAGCTCATGTTATGTATGTTATTACCAGAGAAAAAAGAAGTCAGTCACTCACTCAATAGTGTCTGACAGTGAAGTCTAGAAAGTAAACGGGTTTCCTTGCATAATTCGAATACTAGGACACTGCTTAAGTTTAAAAACCTGCCATACTGTATAATTAAATAATAAGATGAAAATACCTTTCCCAATCTTACATGGCGTTTTAAAAGAACATAGGTATTACAAAGCCAAAACTTTTGCATTTTCTGACAGAAGGCTACGGTGCTTCAAAGTAAAGGCAGTTTAGAAAACTATCAATGACCAGACTTGTTGTATTTTAACACAAACAGTTGTAAAAAAAAAAAATGCCAATTTGTTCAACTTTACACATCTGCAGGTGCAGAAATGTCCAACGAATGACTAAGAGCAGCGAATTAATATGCGCATAAATAATATCAGGACTTTGTAAATGAAAATTTTAACTGAAACTTTACAGGAATGTTTATCTTGGAGAGTATTTTGTATCTGCGCAAATAAAAAATAATATATTCGCAACATGAAAATGCAAATTTTCCGTAATATTTGTTCTTCTTCACTAAGCTATTTTACTTGTCTAACAGTAATCAACAACTATGGGACATTTAGGCAGTATATGTGTTGAAATGAAAGACAGTTGAGACGTCAATGTAACTTTGTTGCAATGTCCTCCAGTGTTCCAGTCGATATACTACAAATTTGAGCTTATGCATTGAAACTGTATATATAAATATAACTACTCAAATCGGGTATATTTGTGAAAAACCAATGACTACTCTTATTGATTTACCAATAGAAGCCATTGGACGCCTCTTAACGCATCCTCTGATTGTTGTTGTTGTTGTTGTTTCGTTGCTGTAGATTTGATCTCCCAACTAAACTAATACTTCAATTTTAATATCACTGCACGTACATGAGAAAGGTCACATCTAACCATTATCGTGAGGAAAGCTCATTTTTTATAGTGGTGTTTAACCAACTATGTCAAGGCGCGAGTAGAAGTTGTATCAGTGGTGATACTACACACAGAAGGCGCTACACTGGAAAACAGTAAAATTATATTAAAAATCATTAAAAAATATACGTCCATAACCTACGATTTAAAAGAAAATTCACATATACCTGGCTGAAAGAATTAACTTACTTTGTGTGAAAAAAAATGAGCCCATACCCGCTCTCAAAGGCTATAATTCTTAAGTTGTAAATAGTCTGATTTTCAAGTTTGACATTGTACCCAGTGAGTTGCAGATAATATGTGAGTGTATTGTGATCAGCCTCCTAATATTTTAGTAGTGTGGTTGGGTATTGTATATTACTTGATTATGATATTAATTAGTACTATGATTGAGTATTGCATATTACTTGATTATACCATTTTATTATTGTGGTTGAGTATTGTATATGCTTGATTATAATAATTTAGTTGTGTGGTTGAGTATTGTATATTACTTGATTATGATATGTTAGTAGTGTGGATGAGTAGTGTATATTACTCGATTATAATATTTGAGTAGTGTGGTTGGGTATTACTCGAGTAGGATATTTAGCATTGTAGTGCATAGGAAATTTGAACTCGGGCACGAGACCGTTGACATAATAATAACCTATTAACAATAATTGCCCTACTTCGTGGTATGAATTATCTCCCTTGAAACTATAAATCATTGCCATAATCACTATGCTCGCTTGAGATCGCTTTACAGCAGCATGGATATGAATATATGGTGAAGTTCATATTGGCAGTGACGAGTCTATACATTTCACCACGATAACGCCTTCTTTATTCCCGAATGTTCCTCCCACATGGAAACTGCTTCTCACACAAGTCTCACGTCCGTTGATATTAAGAACATGGGAATTGCCGATGACAAACTGAAAATAGGGGGGGGGGGCGTTTTGGAAAATTGTGTTGAATGTTTAGAGCCTTTCAAACCGGGGGAGGTGGTGGTTGGCCAGCTTCATTATAATGCTCGACACGCCACTGCTAGCTGTTAGGTTGACACCACACAGCCCAGAACTATCGTGTTAAACCAGCACCCAAGTGATTCGACTATTGCAAATCTGCAGGATCTCTGAATGGGTTATATTTGGCATGTTTGGCGGAGGCTTTTGTAAAAATAATGAGAAAAAGTAGCAAAACTGAACAGGTGTTTTTTTCAATGCGTCACTATTTTTTTAATTCGATTCTTGACCGACAAACAAGCTATTAATTGAGGTTTAAGCTTCTTAAGCATATGCGATGAAGGAAAAATGGAGAAAGATGAGACAGTCTTCCGAGATGAGCGTTATAAATAGTGAGTTATTTTCAATAATAAAACGATTAAATCGTAAAAGAGGTCAGGATGTATAAAGTGTGGACAAGGGAAAAAAAACCACAGACAAAAACATACAACACATAATGGTAGTAAACATGCAGATTTTTTCTTCTTCTAATCAATTTAAAACATTCTCAATCAACCTTTCTATGTTCGTATGACACTCATCAGTAGATAATTCCAGATCGTAATGCATATAATTGAACACACACCAAAAGTAAATCTCTTTAAGCTGAGGGATGAATACACAACGTTACACACCATACACGGGAGGCGACAATGACACAATAATGGTAGGAAAACTGTTCCATTCAAGCACCTGCTATTGACAATACATGATCGATTCTCATGGGTCACACTTGGTGGAAATGTACTCTAAATCCATGGCAACGCTACCGTGATAACTATCACTAGTACACACAAACGACACCTGGGACGAGCTAAGTACGGAAGTATTTGTGTTTATAATCCAGAATATCATATGGGAATATCATTACCATTTCAGAAAAACGATAATAATATATTAACAAATCACACTATTAGTGTAGAAGAATATCCTAGAAGATTTTTTTTCCCCTTGAACGGGATCGCTCTTGAGTTGCCCTCATTTTTGAAATATGACAAGAAATAGGTGAAGAATTTCGAACAAAATTCACGTCACATGTATGTGTAGTCCCATATACACATGTCTGGGTACTGAGTACTTTCAACAAGACTGAGCCAGTTTCTTATCACATTGATGACTCCGTGATCCCGAGGCAGCGTTTTCCAACCGGGATGCCGCTAGATATCTTTAGGGGGTGTCGTGAGGAAAGTTTCGTACTATCAAAAGTATATTTCGGAATAAAAGCCTCTTCATGAAATCAAAGTATTCGAAACCGCAAGATTCCAAAATCATTTTATTTTGTGTATTTTGATGAGGATATAACATTTTAAAAACATTTAAAGGGTTACTTTTCTCGCTCGCAAGCGAAAAGAAGAAACGGGATGATTTCAGGATTCGAAGTGCATAGATAATCCAATATTCGGCAAGCGAGCTGCCATCATACCATCACGTTCATGCAGCAAGATGCTCAACTAGATCTTATCTATAATGGATTGAAATATAAAAATTTATGTATAGATATTAATATATACATCGAAATGAAATGTTTAACCACAGTAAAATTCTCCTTATTTTCCTCGCTCGAAGATTAAGAAACAGGGTCATTCCCGGTAACACGAGCACGGAATACCAAATATATCCTAATATCGAGTTGCCCGAATATAATATACTTTGATATCTCATCTAGTGTGAATTGATGACACACAAAAAAAATTACGATTAGAAATATGTCAATATCTTTTGCTTGCTTGCTCACAAATTTAGAAGCCTGATTATTTTGATTAGGGCAAGAGGTTCACATGTGTACATATAAGAATGATGACAACCATATCTTATGGGTTAAACTTGGAATAGGGGTGACACAAACTTCTTTAATTTCAAAAGGAATGGCAAACGCTGCCCCACAGTATACACCCTGTCTTATGTGCTTCATAAGCGATTTTTTTTCCAGTTGCTTCCAGAGAGTTTCTTTAATAACATATATTGAAATCGTATAACCTTATTTCTAACGGCCTGCGTGGATATGTTTTAAGAACAATGGCAACAATAAGCTCCCAACGAATCCATTTGAAAAAATGCGAAAGGGAAAAAGAAAGGGGTTATTCAACTCCAGATTGAATTAATCTTGATTTCCTGAAAACCAATATATCCTATCCCGGCTCGAAGGCAATATATCACCATTACAATACTACTTAACAGCACGTTAAATAAATCTTCCCAAAAATAGAACGAAGTTATTTTCCAATCTTCTCTCATTGTTGATCGCTCGAAGATAATGGAATATTTTAGGAAATATTTATCAATCTTCATTTACAATCTAGTTTTTTTCCTTTTAAATCTTGTTTAGCCCTGCCTTCTACGAGGATCATTTTTATCACTTGATAAAAGGTAAATGATTTTCCCATCAACAATGACTGATCGACTCGTGGAAACAATTAACCGATACCTAGATTGCGAATGTAACAGAGGATGCTGAAATCCTTTGGAAGTAGGCCTATACATGTTTTCATTTACGAGCGAACTTTTCTTTCCCCTTCCTTTATTATACAATGTCAAACATTTCTATAATATCGGTTTTCCTTGATGGTGTATCAAATATATTGCATTCGTTTGGCGGTTCGAAGACAAGTGCAATATTCATGTTAGCCGAATGCAATGTTGGATGTCTTTGGGCATGATGGTAACCCTCTTGGCGTGGATGGCACACAGGTTGGTGTCCTCAAAGAGGCCAACTATACCACCAAAGAAAGCCAACATTAATATACATACAAAATCAAACTTCAGTAAAACTTAAAGGCATGAAAAAGGTCAATTTACTATCACATTCCAATGATTATGCACAAACATAAAACATAAATTTCTATTGCAATTTTCCAGTCCAGCAGTGGCTCGACTTTACTCGACTGTATAGTCTTTAAGCAAAATTTGGCAAGTCAAAAGGAAAGATGATACAAATTTTGAACATATAGGTGTTTAAACGCAATATTACCAATCGTATACAGGTCTTTTGATAAAAGTTACTTTTAAAGTAGTTTATTGTCACATTAGAACGATGTAAGCCAACATGCGCATGTATCTCTTCCTCATGAGCGCGCTCGTGATTGAATATTACGAGAGAATGACGCTCAATGTGTAATATTGTAAAGATATTGCACGATGATTATTTATGGGTGGAGTAGCGTAATATACAAAGGAAAACCAATAGGCTTACAATATTGAACTCGATCAAGGAAAGGGAATCAAATCCATACGAGCCTCTTTTTCCAGAGAATAAAATCTTGTATTTGATTCCCCTTCGTTGATCGAGTTCAATATTGATAGCATATTGCTTTCTCTTCGTATTTTTTGTCACTCCACCGATGGAGATTCAGCGTGCAATATTGTTGCAATATGGCACGCTGCGCGCGCATCAATTAATAATAACTTGGATCATCGTTTATTTTGTCTTGCCAAATGTTTCTTTAAGAATATTTGAGACACTGTTGGATTGGAAAATTGCCATGGAACTTTCAGTTTAATGTAGTGCATCCTCATTGGAATTCATTAATTGAATTGACATTTTCAATCCTTTAAATTTCAGTGCAGATCGATTTTGTTAATGTATAATATTAATTAAAAATATTAGCTTTCTTTCGTGGTGTATCATATATATTGCATTAATTAAGTATGAATATTCGCGATTGGTGAGATATATATATGATAGAGGCCACAGGCAGCCAATATCATATAAACATACAGCGTAACAGATACAATCATGCAGACTTTCATAATTACCTCGCTTGGCAAAACTAAAGTACAAGAAAAGCTTACACATATGCTGAAATCAAACGTACGCCGCGTTATATCCAAAAGTGTATTAATTAAAATAACAGGAAAATATACACTCAGACTACAATTTAAAAAAAAAAGATCAAAGAAAACCGCTTTTATCGTAATTTCTCTTCTCTTAAATCTGTTTTACAATATATTTTTTCCTTTCCATAATAAAATATTAAACGAACATAAAAACGTAACATAATGTTGTCAAACAATGGTAAACTTGCAATCTTTACACTTGGCTGATTTTTTTTCTTTCTTACAACCATCACAAGTAAGAGAACAGTGATTACGTCAGTGAAATCCATACAATTTGATTTGATTCGTATTAAAAGCTAAATCATAATCTAAAAGTCAACAGGACACCTCAAATACGACCATATTATATTGAAGTAAGGACACAAACAAAATGTATGCGTTATTCTTCTTACACTGTTGTTATGTACAAAGGTTATCTGTAACTGAGATGATTTTCAACGAGGCGTTTTTCATGTAAACATTTCTATGCATTACCTTGAATTTAAGCCACTTCCTATTAATATCAACAGTTGATTGAAAAGGAACTTGGTAATATGAAACTCCATATATTATCGTAAAGGTCAAATTTATGTTACCATTTTGAGACTTTTACAGTCCCGTATAAGTCAGAAAAAGTCCTTTTCCCTTTTAATTTTCGGAGAAAGGATTAAGGGATAATACATATAGGTTCCATCACATGTGGTCCAACGTTTCTATCGTAACCTAATCGAATTTCAAAGACTATAAGTTTTTTCGATAAGTTTATTCGTACGTCAAAACTTACCCCTTTAACACACCTATATTTTAAATACAATAAGCCATGATTGTTTATTTTTTTATTCAAATATTATACCAAAGGGTTGACTTGCAATAGGATCGACTGTGGATTCAGCTGGCTCTAAAAAAAAAAGCATAAACTACCACTTTCCTTAAGGGATTAAACATTGAACTGTTTTATTTTTTTTTGTAATATTCGGACCCCATTAGATTCTAAAGCATGATAAAGAAGGGATTTGCGGGAAATGCTTTATACATCTATTTATTAATATCTGTATTGAAATGTACATAATCCCCATGACGATGCTCAGAGCACTCACTTCGAGATAGGACCCACTTGGAGTAATTAAAACGGAGATGTGGACCAACTCGGCACTTGACGTGTATCACACGTGCCTCACATGCGGCGAGCCTATATGCCATCGCCAGCTGTGCTTTCATTAAATGTTTCTTTCAACGAACATGTTAGTATCTATTTTGGTGGTCTAAATATCCTATCTCCTGTCTGGTAAACATGTAGAAAAACTAATTCTCCCGAACTCTTATGCTAGCACCTTAACTAAAGATTAGCTTTTAATAATAATAATGAAGAAAAAAAGAAGCAAAAACCATGTTTCTCCCACGACACTTTATCTGCCAAACTAATGTATTTTGCAAATTCGTAAAGCTCCGTAATTTATCTGAACCAGCAAAAAGGTTTATTAAACCTTATGAATAAATCATATGACCAGGTGCTGCCACTTATGTAGATGCTGAACTCACAACATATAAACGAATTATCGTCCACATTACTCTAGTGTTGTAGGACTAGACATCGAGCCGTATGTGGTCACTGCTCAATTACATATAAGCATGTCTTCTAAAGTACATGTGATGGAATTTATAGCACAAATCTCTGGTAATGTATCGTCAAAAAAACGGAAGCAATGAAAATAGGAATGATATCTTACTAAGCTGTCTGGCTGTAAAGTCGCGATAGGCAAGCAGATGGAGGTTTCTGGCTCGTATAGGTGCCTTTAATTTATATTCCGTTTATCTTGAAAAAGTAAAATAGATCCCCCTTCCCTCACCCCTTCTTGCCTATCTCTCTCTCTCTCTGTCTCTATCCCCCTCTATCTCTCTCTCCCTCCCTCTTTCTCTCTCTTTCTTTCCTCCTATCTTCTTTTCCCCTCTCTCTTCCAGCTGCCTTTCATTCCATTACAACCAGGGGCGAAGGAGCGTCTTCCAAAGTGCGTGGGTGTGTGATCATGCGTGTGTGTGCGTGTGCGTGCGCGCGCGGGTGTGTGTGTGTGTATGTTGGGAGGGGGGTTATAACCGTTTAGTCTACAACCAGTTCGTCTACTGCCCAATCAGTCTATTCTCGTATAGTCTACACCCAACCCGGCTCCTTTCCACATGATCTAATAATCATTTCGTATACATTTCGTTTGTTCTGAAGACCATTTAGGCTAATAGTATTTGGTTTGATTTCCATATGGTCTAATTTTCAATTATTCTACTACCCATTTGGTCTATTATTCATTTAGTCTAGTACCCATTTGGTCTAGTATTAATTTAACCAGTTTTATAACCAGTTAGTATATTCCAAGTGCGTCTAATGCCAATTCCGTCTACCTTCCATAAGGTTTAAAAATAAGATTCATTTGATGATGATTATTAATCATGATTGAATTATTGTTAAACTATATAGAACAAACGGTAATTCACCGGGTAAGACACCAACTAAATAGGGGAAAAGGGGCATCCACAAAGGGAAACGCTAGAGCGAAGATATGCGCAATGTTTAGAAATTGGTAGAAAGTTAGTGAATACATTTTGAGGGATGGTTTCAATATTGTTTCTCTCTTTACATGGTCCAGGATTCTACTTAAGCATTATATTTTGCAGTTTTGTGTGATGGTCCGAATATTCATATGCGAGCGAGTGAAATGAGGGAGCACAAATATTAAGATTTGAGAGGTCGACGTGAGACAAAATCTTGTAATCTTATAAAGCTAAAGAACCAAACATTATGGGAATTTAGGCAAAATCACATCTCGAAAGACTGAAAGAACTGTAATAAGTAACAAAATAATATCAACTTTTGGGAAAAGATTAAAGCAAATATTGCTCTTATTCGCTTTTAATAAGAGCACATGTTATGGAGAAAGGAAAGGAGGCACTTATCAGAAGAACAAATGACATTAATTACGAAAGAAAAGGAGCACGGGTCAAAGTAAAAATGGCAACTATCAAAAGTGAAAATTGGGCCCTTCTCGTACTTGAAAAGGGGTACTAACCAGAAATGGAAAAGAACTAATGAATATAGAAAAAGGGCATTGGTCGAAGGAAATTGGCATGCATTATACATTAAAAGAGGCAATGATCAGTTGTGAAATGGAAAATAAGGCATTTATGAAAAGGGAAAGGAAGCTTTTATTTAAAAAAGGAAAGGGGTACTTGTCAAAAGATAAATGTACTTTTAACAAAAATAATGGGGCATTTATCAGAGATAAAAAAATGTGTCCTACTAAAAAGGAAAAGGGACACTTAACACAAAGGAAAGGGCTCTTATCAAAAAGGAAAAGGGGCACTTATCACAAGGGGAAAGGGCACTTATTTAAAAGGAAAAGGGTCAAGTGGGAAATCAAAGGGGCACTTGTGAAGTTAAAAAGGGGCGCTTGTTAGAACTGGGAGGGACACTGCTTACAATGGAAAAGGGGCACTTTTCAAAATGAGAGGGATGCCTCTCAGATTTGGATAGGGGCGATTATTAAAGGTTAAGGGAGCACTATCAAAGGTGATAAGGGGTACTTATACCAAGGAGTTACTAACTCCTTGCTTATACGAATGTGGAGCGAGCACCTATCAGAAAGAAAAAGGGGGTACTTGACAATCTGGGTACTGTTGTTGTCCTGCCCCCACCCCCCCCCCCCCTCTCCACATGAATCGCTGCCTCTGAATACAACAGAGCGAAGGGTACTCTGAATATTGTCGGGGAGGGTTGTGGGGACCGACATTTAACGTCAACATCTGAAACGCCTGACTGGTGTCCTATACAAGTTCGTCAGCTTAGGAAACCAAGCTTACCACTAGACGTCTCTGTTTTCTAAAAAAACCTACCTCGCTGATCAGATCCGGTCAAACATTTTAATACTAATATTTAG